GTGGGGAGGTGTGGGGGGTTTGATGTTAGGGGAGGGGATTAATGATGATTTTCGTTGACATCGACAGTTGGCAGTGCTTCTCATTGCGTATCCCATTGCCATTTATGAGCCTTTAACCTGAATGCAAATGCAGCAAACTCACCAAAAAAACCTAAGGTGCACTATACTGAAGCTCCACCACCCACACCTTGCACCCAAAAACTTCTAACCCTGAAGCCCCCTCAGATGGCTAGCCCCAAAGTTCTCAAGGACCTGGAGGTTTTGAGTCAAGCCTACACCCCACCCAAAACCTCGATCCCCCAACCTTTACTCTAAACCCCCATAAATTTTACACTCTAATCCCCACCCCCTAGACTCATGTTATTTCCCTAAACCCTGATTCCTAGGATATGTCTCTGAAATACCCCTACAATCCTTTAAGTTCCTTTGCATACGAAGGCCTAAGCCGAACACCTTTGAACCCAGCCCAGGCGCTAGCAGCTCGCGAAGCGGAGCGCGAGCAGTTGGCTTCGAAGGTCTTCCAAGCACAGGCGCGGCCCGTGATACTGGATCAATGTTAGGGATCCTTTAAAAGGAGGATATGATATAGGGTTTATACTACTATTTATGGTTTAGGGTTAAGGATTGGGGCTTATGGGGTGTGAGTTTTTTTTCTAGTTCAGGGTTTAGGGTTCAAGGATTCGCTGCGTCGCTGATTGGTGTTGAACCATGCCGCGTACCATGGACAACATTGAGAAACAGCAGCAGCGTGCTTGACTGGTAACTTTAAACTTTGGCTTTTCGGTTTGGGGTGAGGACTGAGGTGCAAACTCTAAACCCTAAACTTAAAACCCTGCTGTACTGGCATTTCGGCAGGACCAGAGTGTGCTACGCAGAAAAGGTAAAACAAACAAGAAAAAGCATTTGAACACACCAACCACTTTTGTGATTTGAGGACGTAGGGTTTCGGCCCTTAGGATCTGGGGATGTAGGGTTCTGGCCGTATGAATCCTGGTCCATTTTTTTTTCTTGGTGTTCACGGGGGGGCTTGAATGGAGTTCCATATGCATATGTCTGTTGGTTATACAGGTTCGGTCATTCCACTGCACAGGAGTTACCACCAGAAGTAGTTGATAGGGGTAATCATGATGAGTTGGTTGAGTTGTGTTGGGCACCATATTTGGCCAGATTTCTTTGTTCAGATGAGCGTATCAAAGTTGCAGGTGGATACTTGCCATTTTTGAATTGGGGCTTGTGATTCTCCGGCGATTTTTCCCGGAAGTAGGCAACAAAGCAAGCGGGGGGTTGACAATGGCACCAGAATTTCTTCGGTTAGGAATGTCAGGAAGCTGCCGCACAATCTGAAAACGACAAAATTTTTAGAATCAGCGTAGAGTACATGTCGATCAAGCAGGATTAGTAAAGAGCCATCACAACACTTTCGAATGCCCCTGCGGCACTGCAGGTGGGTAGCTTGCAGGTGCGGTAGTTTCCATGGTACTCCCATAAGACTTTCTACGATCCCCCATACATTGCTGCAGCCTTTCGGACATGGACACTACCCACCTGTAATGAGCTTTTGTTTAACCCGGGGGTCACGACTTTCACATGTGAACTTGCAGTCCAAAAAGCAAGCTTTAAGATTCAAAGTGGAGACCCAAGCCCTTTCAGTGTTCTAGTTCGGGTCATTCACCCTTGCAGTAACGGTCCGTAAAGGGGTCTTATTAACAAAGCTATTCAGTACCATTGCGGTACCAGTTACTGTAAGGATTCCCTAAACCCTAAATCCCAAGCACCTGCTGAAGACAGCTTTCGCTGCGAGGTGGAAAAGTTGCCGTGAAAAACAAGGTCCCAAACCCTAAACCTGCAATAGCCTCCCAGCGCAATTCAGGACGAGCGCGAGCAAGAGTTGGAGGCCTTAGCGATTCGCTTACAGCGCCAGGAGGAGGTGCTAGTTTGCTTGCTAAGTTTACAGCGGTATTTATACAGGGTTAATGTAGGGGATAGAGGGGCATATACATACACGGGGATACATAGGGTTTAGGGTTCAGGGTTTCCCTAACCTAGGGGCACCTTTTTTCTAAGTTGCTTGCTTACGGAATCAGTGGCACACAGTAACGCCTTGAGTTTGTCACCACAGCTGCCTAACCATCACACTGCATGTTTTTTGGGTTGTATGTTGCGGAGGATAGGTTCATGCCGTCGGGAAGGGCTTGCTGAAGGATTTTACCATCACTAGTACATGCAGGTAGAGGTCAACTAGTAGTATGGTTCATGACTGCCAGTCACATGTCGATCTTCTGCCATCTTTGACCTGCTGGTTGGTAGTATGGGGATTGACTGCAAGGATGCCGGTAACCCACAATAACTTAGTAGTCGCTTTTTTTCGTTTGAACTCATGGTTTCCTCCGGCTATGGGCCACAAACATGGCAGCACACTTTCACAGCTGTTCTGACCGCTGGTAGGATTCCTGTTGCTCGTGCTTGCAAGCTCTGTGCTGCCGAGTTTTCAAGCAGTGCAGGGCTGGCTGTTACATAGGTATGTTATATAAGGGGAATTTAGGGGTGTGTATATATGTACACATATCTTTCACTGGTTTGGTTGTTTTTGCTGTGCTGGTGGTGGGCTTACAGCATTCCCTGCCTTGCCACAGTCAGACGACAGCTGTACACTGCACCCCCTGAAAGAATCTTCTCGTGCTATGCTCGTTGCTTTAGCAACTCTTGTAACAAGATCCTCCCGTTCAGGCAGAGGGGTCTTGTGAATTCTGAAAAGCCAGCTACATGCTGCACCTTCAACCCCTGAAAAAGGGTCCCTTCATGTATGGAATTGCCATTACCCTATCCTCTTGGGCTTCGAAATAATCTCTATATACCACTTGGGTTGCGGTTTCGTTTTCCATTTTCCGTTCCATTTGATTCTCCACTATTGGCAATTTTTTCGTAGGTCCATTTTTTGAGGGAATAGGCCTCAACCCTATAGAGCCCCTTTCCAGCCTCTACGCAACTCCACTTCTGGGCTCAAGCAACCAGCAACTTGAGAAGACGACGGCAGTGAGCTGCCTGAAGAATTGTCCCAGCACGGTCTCTGAATCGTTGGCATGCCGCGAAAGCCGATCGTTGGGGGAAACTGGCCGGGGCCTCATAAGGGTACCTGCAGGGTTATGACAGAGGTATGTAAGGACACAGAGTTCACCCACGTTAAGGGTTTGGGGTTCAAGGTAAGCCGAAGGATTTTGGAAGTTCATCGAAGTCGAGGTCCACCTCGGGTGTCCTAGACATAAAGGATGCTCTGATTTGCAGATGCTCCTGTCGTCATGCCTTAAAAACAGGAATCAACCCTAGCTAGCCCTACTTGCGGAACCTGTAAGTAAGAGCTAGGCTCATAGCAAGGCAGCCATGCGCAAGACTAAACTCTGATCATGTGCTATGGGCCAAAGCAGGCCGCTAGGGAACCTGCAGGGAGCCTACGTAAGCGGAATGCATAGAAGCCATTGCAGCTAGAATCGACTTGGATCTACCGGATTTACATGAACACCAATCGCCAATCGATGTTCTTTGGTTTGAGCTTCATGGGCCCAGGCATTTCTTGTGACATGCGCGGGCATCTCAAAACGAATCCTTGGCATCAGTTTGCCGAAGTGACCAACAGGTTAAGGTGATGGATACTCTTTTTGCAGGGGTCGTTTCAGCGCGTATGCTTACTGTTGCCGGAGTGTATGCGACTGTGGTGGCGCCGAGGAAGTGCAACCCGTCGACGGTCAAGGAAGCCCTCGATCTAATCCAAGCTTGGAAGAACCAGGCGGGTGCAAGGAGAGCTTTGCGTTCTGATGAGTTTCCCGAGATGGTTTCTGGTGGCAAACGGGCAGGAGACAGGTGTACTTTCCTAGCGCTTTTAACATGTGGATTCCCCAGGACTCCTTCCCTATGCTTCCAGTGCAGCAGCAAGGTCGCAGGTATCAAATCATAGTAACAATAGTAAGAAAGTAAGAATGGCAATAAGTAATGATAGCCTTTGTGATGTCAGGTCCCAGTGGACAAGAGAAAGATTGATGTGTTCGCTTGTCCTATGCTGTGCGAAGCCCAGATAGTATCCATGGTCTTTGTGTGTGGATGGCGGGAACCAGTACTGGCAAACCAACATGATCCCTGTTCTTCGTCTGGGACTTGCAGATGTACAGGTGGAAGATGCGCGCGCACCGATGGTCTGCGTTTGGGGCTGGCTGTCCACGTGTGTTCGTGTTTGTCATACAATGCCCAACCACTGAGGCAAATTCCTGAGGCAAAGCAACCAGAAAGCAAGATAAAGCAAGCAAAGGGAGAGGGGCAAGACAGCATGAGTGGGAGAAGGAAGAGACTGCAATGACTACGTTGTGAGTCCAGAGTTGGCTTACTAGTGGTTGGCAGGGAACAAGGCAATATAGTTATGTACATATATATATATATCTCTCTCTCTCTCTCTCTCTTTTTCCCGTTATTTCCCACTAACCCTAAACCCTATATCTATACTGCTTTGCCTTGTTCCCTACCATACTCCGGTAAGTCGAAAAGTTGAAGGGCGTGCGCGAGTTGTCTGAACCCCATTGCGGGTTCTTTCGGTTTCCAGGCATGGAGGAAATCAGTTTTAGTTAGGGTTTGGGGTTTGGGGACATCACCCAGAGAGCGTTTTATAGGGTTTTATGGGCACTATGTTTGGCCTACTTTTGGATATTTAGGTTGCTGTGGGATGGCTAATGCTCGAGCTTCCATAAACAGGGTTGCTGTTAAGGAAC